AATGCTGTTTGCTAAAAGTGAACAATGGCTGTATTACAGCAAGTCTGTAATGCCTAGAAAGAAAAGGAAAAGCAGACCTGAAAAAGCACACTTTCTTGTTAATTACATGCAGATTGCAAATGCTCATACATCTAGTGAGTAATAACTAAAGCCAAGCCAACACAAGGAGATATTTTTATACTGCTGATCACACAGCAAATCCAGTTACAGGGCCTGAAAATTAATTACAGATTAGGACTTAATATTTACTACTGGAAATAATGCAGCTTCATTAACACATAGCCTGTACCATTGTTCAAGTATGACAGACTTGCCAGTTAGGAAAACTTAAGTTGTGAGCTACCTATAAAGGGAACACCTCAGCCCACCTCAAATCCCATCTGGAAATAGGTAAGAATTCCAGCAAAATGCAGAAAACACAGCTAGGGCTGTGGGCTGACCAAGGATTAAAGTAGCAGAGCCAGCCCTAATTCCACTATTGTAAAGCTTCACTTGGTAACTGACACAAAATCCTCAACACAACTTTCTGTCACTTAAACAAAACACCATGCAGCAGGATTTCAGCAACCAAATACACATTCCAGGGGGTTTTCTGAGATGCTAAAATATACTAACAGCACAGACACAATTCAAATCCTACATATAGGATAGGGTGGCACACTTTTTAAAAAGTCAAGCCCACACATTTGAGCAGCTCTTGTGTGAAATCAGTCCCAAGTGTAAAATCCCTATTTTTTCTATGCCCTTTCTAACTAACAGTGAATGGTGTCCAAGAACTTATTGCTCACTTCCACTTGGAGTAAGAAACAGAGAAAGGTCCTAAAAACCCACAAACTATCTGAATTGTATAAACCAAACAGATCACATAAAATAGAGCTAAGCAGTGACATAAGGAACTGTGCAAGAACTTGCAGCAGAAACAAGAGATGAGTAAGAGGTAAATCCAATATAGAAAGAACAAAGCACTCAATATGGACAAGGAAGGGATGCAGGAAAATCTAACAAACAACAAATCCCCCAGTTATCACAAGAGGAGACATTAACCACCTAAGATTTGCCACCATGCTCAATACTATTAATCAGCTGCTCCAGCACTACATAATTTTCAGAAGCATGTGACAAGATGGAATGAAAAACAATGCAAATCACAAATAAAAGTTTCATTATAGAAACAAATCTGCCCAAACTCCTTGAGAGTTTGAATATTTAGCTCTTCAGCCACTCCTTTCAAGATAAAATTTACACCTTTCATTCCAAATAAAGAACATCACACACAAATGAAGAGCAAGGCTTATGAATAATAGGACCGAATAACATTCTTCCTGCAATTTAAAAAAAAATTATTTAACTGGAAGTAAGGATTAAGAGACAATTGAAAAACAATGCCTACCTTTGACTTTTGTACCTCTGTAGTAAATGAACAATCAGTACATACAACATAAATGAATGAACATCTTGGAAACTAACATCAGGGATATGATTAAAACATACCAGTGTTCTCAAGTTTCAGAGCATGAGGTGACAAGGCTAAAAACGTGTCAGTTACATTAACACAAGGATTGCAGATGTTATTCTGGTAACTTATGTTATTAGTCACAAAACTTATCTAAAAGAAGTTTAATTAAAGTTGAAAAAGAAGAGCTGAAAAACAACTTTTCCTTTTACTTCTACATTTTTCCCTTTAAATTCAACAGTGCTTTATCCCTCATTATTTTATCCTTTCTGTCTTTTGAAGCTATAATTTAATTCTTAGCTATAATTCTTTTCAGTGTATTCTTCTGGCTCTAGTCTTACTGCCCTTGCCAATTTGAAATAAGTCACATCCTTTCTGCAAGCCAAATTGTTTCTGTCCACTGATAAAACCATTTTATTTAGCAACCTACACTTCCACCTGACATGAAGAAATAGACATGTTAAGTAGCTTAGGAAAAATATCAAAACAGTCTTCAGACCCTCTGTTTTTAAGCCCTATGTCAAGAATAGGTACCAAAATCTCAGCTATCGTCAGCTATCGTCCATGACACCACTTTATGCATCTGTGAATGTTCAAGTAGGGATCCAAACATCACCACCTGAAAATGACAGCTATAACCAAGTGCACAGTAAAAATAAAATGAACTTTCTCATAACCCATGGCCTCTACCACTAAAAACTGCACCCTACATAGCTTTGGAAGTGTTGCATACAAAAATCAAATTCAGTGCTGGACTACAGCACATCGATTTTGGAGAAGGACAAAACAAAATGGTGTAACATTTTCCTAAACTGGGAGAAGCTGTTGACTCCCTCAAAGGCAGAGAGGCCCTCTAGGAAGACCTATACAAATTAAGGGCTGAACAATCACCAACCATGTGAAGTTTAACACAGCTTAGCACCTGGGACGGAGCAATTCCAGATGTACAGACAGACTGGGGGAAAAGCATCTGGAGAGCAGCACTGCAGAAAGGGACCTGGAGGTGGAATGAGAGTCAGCAGTGCCCTGGCAGTGGAGGGCCAGCCCTGTCCTGGGGACATCAGGGACAGCATCACCAGCCAGGCAAGGGAGGGGATTGTCCTGCTCTGCTCTGCACTGAGGCAGCCTCACCTCGAGTCCTGTGTGTTTTGGGCTCCACAATACAAAAAGAATATAAAACTTTAGGAGAGCTATAAAGCTGGTGAGGGGCCTAGAGGAGAGGAATGGCCTAGAGGCACTCAAGGAGCAGCTGAGGTCACTTGTTTGTTCAGCCTGGAGACTGAAGGGAGACCTCACTGCAGAGTACAGCTTTCTCACAAGGGGAAAAGCAGAAGCTTTAAGCTGAGTTACAGGAGGTTTTTTAAGCTGGATATTAGGAAAAGATTTTTCACCCAGATGGTGGCTGGGCACTTGAACAGGCTCTCCAAGGAAGTTCTCATGAGAGAACACCAAGCATGAGAGAGTTCAAGAAGCGTTTGGACAACACACTCAAGCACATGGTCTGATTCTTTGGGAAGTCTTGGGGAAGTCAGGGCCAGAAATTGGACTTGAGGATCCTTGTGGGTCTATTCCAACTCAGGATAATCTGTGATTTTATGAACATAAAATCTTGTGAACATGTTTACAGCCAATTTATTTATTGGAAATAATTACCTAATGACACAACCACAGTTTCTTCCCAAACTATGGCTATCAAAAAACTCCTCCCATACAAATCACAACATAATTCACAGGTTCTACAACCTGAGTTTCAAGAGAACTCCTTGATATTCACTCCCTACTGCCTTTCAAAGCCATGAGAATACTTGTGTCTTTTGTGACCATAAAATGAATTATCAGTCATGGTAACAATTTACAGAACTGTGATCCTCCCTCTTTTTCTCATATTTGAGCCAAGAAGGAGTTAACAACGATGACATTAAAACCTGCCACACCAGGGTATTTGGGTTAACACCTTGCTAACATGAACAGGGCAGCTCACACCTCTTGCAGCAATTGTTCCAGTTCCTCTACTACCTCACTTAGACATCTCCACGTTTAGTTCATTCTGAGGTTTTCAACAGAACTGTATAAGCCAGAAACTGATGGGGAGCGGGGGAGGGCAGCAAAAGATAGTGGATAACAAGGTAGCAGATTTAGAGAGGTGTTAGTAAGCAATGTCACTGCTCAGATGAATCTCAGTATTGGTGCCACACAGCAGGTACACCCTTAGCAGCTAACATAGAACCACAGTATAGTTTCGGAGGAACAGATAATGTCATTACATACATAAATATGGAAGCAGAATGCCAGTGACTTCAGTGTTTGGCGCCATGCCTTTTGTTCTGCACTGAAATCACAACAGGTTGAATTGCTGGGATTGGCTCAGTTGGTTACAGCATGCTGCTAACAACACCAAGGTTGTGGGTCTGATCCCATTATGGACCATTTACTAGAGAGTCAAACTCAATGATCCTTGCGGGTTCCTTACAGCTCAGCCTATTCTGTGAATCTGTGAATTAACTAATGTAATAACTAGGCTTTTTCCACAGGACAACTGGGAAGTGAAATTACACTGTAGATGAACATCCACCACTTGAAATAACATGCTAAGATTTATAATGTTTTCTTGAATGAGTAAGAGATCAATGCGTAGAGGATACCATCAATAAACCCAGAACTTGACTACTCTATGAACGCCTTGTTTGCAAGGCCTGGAGACCCAGGCCTTGGGTCTGGTCTCCAGGCCTTTTCCAGGTTTCCATCAGAAACTGAGGTTTAGGTTTCCATGAGAAACTGAGAGCCTGGCCTCGGCCAGCATCCTTCGGCTTTTGGAGAAGCAGCCACAGGCGGCAGGGACCGAGGCACACAGCCAGGACCACTGCAGGTCACCAGCACCTACGGGAGACTCAACACCTTGCATTAGCTGAAGGGAATGGCCTTTTAACACACCAAGCCGAAGGCGCCTGACTCGGGAACTGCGGGCACAGCGAGTGAACACTGCATGGGTATAAAGGCCACGGGCTTACATTCACTCCTGAGGACACGTGTCTATAGCCATCCGGACAAGACGTCGGCAGCACGAAGCCGAGGACAGCATAATCTTGGTGCTTTGCCTTTACGTTGGTTACACAGCCAGAGAGGCTACAGCAGGCACCCGCGGGACGCCCCGGAGCTGCCTTCGCCCCGCGTCCCGCCGCTGGAGGTCACGGCGGCGGCGGCAGAGCGGCAAGGAAGGAAGCAGGGAGGCGGCGCCGGGAGCCCGCTGAGGGCACCAGGAACGTCCCAGCCCGCCGGGAACACCGCGGAGGCCGGGCCGGAGCCCCCCTGGGTGGCCCTTCGCAGCACCCACCCGCGGTGCGCCGCAGCCCACGCCACCGCCCTCTCCGCTGGGTGTGAAGGGCCAGCGGAAAGCGACGGGGGTTTCCCACAGGAAGCCTGGCGAGGCGAGCGGCGGTCGGGGAGAGGAGGGCGGGGGTGAAGTGGGTATGTCTGGGGGGCGCTCCGCCGCCCCGCCGTCCTCCCTTCTTCCCTCCCTCTTTCCCGCCCGCCCGTCGGCCGCCCCTACCTGCGGCGCCGGGGGCAGGCTCCATCTGCGGCCCCACGCAGCGGCGGCAGCTGCGCACAGCGTGCCCGCGCTTCCCCGGCCCTGCGGCGCAGGCGCGGCACGGCCCGGCCCGGCCGCTCCTGCCGCTCCTCCCCGCGCCGGGCGGGGACCGGGGGCGGGAGCGCTGAGGGCGGAGGTGCCGGCGTGTGGGCGTGTGGGCACGGGGGCGGCCCTGCGGCTCCGTAACTGGGCCGCTGCCGCGACTGAGCCGCCACCGCTGTGATTTCCTGACCGTGGGTGGGCTCATACTCCGTGAGTCACCGAGGGATCAGAAAATCACAGAATGGTCAGGTTGAAACGGGGCCGCAGTGGGTCATCTTGTCCAACCTACCTGCGCAAACAGGGTCGTCCTGGAGGATTGCGTCCCCATCGTTCTGGAGTATCTGTGGTGAGGGACACTCCACACCGTCTCTGGGCAGCCGTTCCGGTGCGTGGTCACCCGCACAGTAAAAAAAAATCTTCCTCATGTTTCAGGTGGAGTTCCCTGGGCACCAGATTCTGCTTGTTGTCTCTAGTCCTATTCTTTGGCACCAGTGAGCAGAGCCCGGCTCCATCCTCTTGGCACCCCTACTTTAGATATTTATACTCATTGATACGGTCCCCTGTTAGATGTTTCTTCTCGAGACTGAACAGGCCCAGCTCCTTCAGCCTTTCCTGATAAGAGAGATGCTCCAGTGCCCCACTCATGCTCATTGCCCTCCGCTGGATCCACCACAGGAGCTCCATGGCTCTCTTGTACTGAGGAGCCCAAAACTGGGAACTGGGCCTGGGTGCTGAGCACCAACTTCCCAGGGAACCCCAGGGAAGCTTGTGTGTGTGTGTCCGCCTGTGTGCAGCCTCTGACAGGGACCGGTGTCACATCCTCCAGCCCTTGGGCTGCCTGAGGCTTCCACAGCAAGGACTCAAAGTGGCAAATGAGAATTTCATTGGTGGCTGTTTTCATCGATGACTTGGTTTCTGACCATAAAAAGGGGCTTCCCAGTCATTGGACATGAGGTCCCTTCTCATGCCTCAGTGTCGCTGGGACCACGTTCCTGTGCAGTTGACAGAGGAACCAGGAAATCTAGTGTCCCACCTCCAACTCTTAGTTAGGAGTCTGCAATATATTTGAAATATTTGGTCAATAATTGACCAACCTGTAGTTGCATGAGGCAAGAATAACCGCTTCAGGACACAAAACATGGAGCAAAAAAAATTTAAAAAGTGATAAATTGCCAGAAATTGCCATACGCTTAAGAACCCAAGAACATGATTCCCGAGAAATTAAGAGAAATGAGGAGTAAGGAGACATATCTGAAACTTGGATCTTGTTTTAATAAATACAAGCCAGAATTTTCAGAAAGCCTACCCTCTTTTCCTATCTTTAACATTTTAGACTGACAAGTGATGTGAAAAATCAATCATTTTATGCAGTAGCCTCTTACAGGAGGCTGCAAAAATTCTTCCAAATATAGCATTTCCTCTCTTACCTGGCATTGTTACTTTCTGTACAGTGGAAAGGTGAATTTTAAACATTACATTCTCAGGGAAGTGAGAAACCCAGGAACCTTCCCCAAACTTCCAGACTGTATGCCTCTGGAAGATAATAAGCAGTCTAGAAAATTCAGTAGGAGGAATTTAGATAATGCCATGTTATTTATTATTTTGATGGAAAATGATTTTCCATCAAAGTTTCAAGGTTTTCCCCAGATTGACAATATTCTCCCTATTTGAAAATTTTGTCTCTTTATTAGGAAATATGTTGTTTCAACTTGAGGCCACACTAAGAGCCAAGTTCTTCGTGTTGATACATTCACAGAAATTAGTAGAGCGTGATGTAGGCAAAATCTTCCACTTGAATGCTTTTGGCCTTACTGATCTAGAGCATTTCTGCTTTATACCATTAAGTGCCTCTATGCTTTTCTTTTTTTAACCACAAGTTTGATCTCATTCCTCAGAGTAAAACATGAATATTACAGTTGTTTTCTGTAACTTTAAACTATACCACTTCAGTTAATGTTTATAAACTGTTTTGAGAATTTTGATTGAACAAAGCAATGCAAATGCAACGTGTCAATTTATTTGTATTTGTTTTATTAAGGGATTTTGGCTATGCCACTTCTGCAAGGAATATAAGAGAGTGTTAAAAAAAAAAGATACCAGCCAATCTGCAAAGAGTTTTTATATAATCTACAAAGAGAAAATACAAGAAAACACATGATACAAAGAGGAGCTTTCAGCATGAGAGCCAAAGAAGTGGAATGTATGCTTTCCAAGTAAGTTGAGTCTTTTAAAAAAAGGCATTATTTAAGTTAGTAATCTTCCTGCTCTTAAACTCTTGGCTACTGTTATCTTGTATATGCCCTGCAAAATTAGAACTGAAGGTTTCTTTTACTGATGAAGATCTTTGAACTTACATGTCAGCTCCCTGTGTTGTGTTAATTTGATAAGTTTCAGGCCAGAACTTTGCTGCTTCTTTCATGGAAACACTACCTGCAAAAATAAATGTCCAATTGCTTTGTAGCTTGGAGAAGTTGTCCTCTGCTGCTGCTGCTTCTTCAGTAGCAGGTCTGGAAAGCAGAAACAGGACTTTCTGGAGTTTTATTTCCAAGTCTGACAGACAAGAAGAAGTGCAAAAGGGACTGAGACACACCTTGAGAAAATAAGAAGAAAGGAAAAAAAAGTTGATAGAACAACTTTGTTTTGTAGATTTGAGGGTCAGAAAGAGTTTTTGAGGGAGGGCATATGCAGCTGAGAGTCTGATAACAGTCTCATGCTTTTGGAGTTAGCAGAAATGATCAGAAATGAGAAAGTATCAGAGAAAGTGTTATCTTGACAGGTAAGCAAATGAGGCTGACATGCAGAGGAGGAATGGAGTAAGACAGTAAGGTAGCAACTGTCCACAAGGGGCTTTAAATTAGGAATAATATCTTGTGTCTGACTTGGGAGCCAGTGCAGGGATCCCAGGAAGGGGCACAATGGCTGATTCAATGACACAGGATAATTATGTTCTTACAGCAGCTTGAGTGAACAGAAGCAGAACAGTTTTTGCCAGCAGAAGAGAGAAAGTTGCTGTGTGAGATACATGAAGTGTTAAGTGCCACATCAAGAATTTTAGTAGCGCAGATAAAAAAGCAAAACTTTGTAAATACATGTTCTTCATGCTTTTATATGCAGTCTTGATGTTAATAACATCATCTACTTATATAGAGAAAAGAATTGCTTCCTTCATTAATGTGGAAGTGCCTGTGAAAATGAGCTCCATGCTGTAGGAGCATTCAAGGGGATAGTTTAATTTAAAAAAAAAAGAAAAAAAGTGCAAAGTGAGTCTTCCTTAAACACGAGGTCTAACTTGTATCTTACCCCAGGAGAGAGTTTTGAAATGACATCTGGAGTATGCAATTTGTGTTTAGTCAGATCTTTTTTAATATGAATCTTGCACAACTTGGGCAGCCCTGTGAAGTTGTGCTGAAATGTGTGGGGCATTTGCCATGTAGCACTTTGATACAAGTTTGTATCATGTGCTTCATTTAACTGAGACACTTATGGTAAACTTGCTTAATTGGGACATCTCCTGGGGCACTGGTGTGAGACCAGTGCTACTTAATACACACAACTGCTACTTAACAGGGCCCTAACAGAGCAGTGGCTACTGCTGAGTGCCCCTGGTTATTCACTGCTGCTTATGTAATCTCTCTTCGCAGTTTCTTGGAATTTGTCTATACAAAGAAAATACTCCCTGCAATTAATTCCATGAGGATAAAATACTGGGTGAAGTATTTGAAATAGACTGATGATGGTGATCACAATTTGTGCACTGATTGTTATATATACATATGTGGGGAAGGTATGATAACTTTATAACTTCCCTTGTAGTCTTGAAGGATGATTGAGAGAACGTTTTTCTTATAAAATTTTTAAACCCCTATATAGTCAGAAGTAGTGCTGTTGGGTTACAGTAATTTCTGTGTTTCTAAGATTCATATTGTTATTTGATTAGCTAATCGCCCATTTTCCAAAGTGTGAACATATTTTCACACTTCAACCAAGACAGTGTTAACAAAGAAACTATAGATAGCAATAGAGATTAATTATCTGTCCCATGAGTCTCCTCACCTTGTTTTTGCCAGATAAAGAGAGCCTATCTGTCTGCACACAGGTGTGATTTTTTTTTTTTAAGCAATAGCCTTGGTCAAATGAGTTCAAAGGCTTATTTTCAAGTGGCACCTCTTAGACACGTTTGTTCACTGTTGATGTTTTTGATCTTGTTTCATGAAATACACCTACCAGTAAAGGGTTGTGATTCTTTGCTAAGCTTACCCATGTGAAATTCATTCATAGGTGTGAGATGTGGGGGAACTTTAAATGAGAATATTTAGAATCAAAGAAGTGTTTCCTTCTTTTCTGGAGGGAAAGTACTCTTACTGAAGTCACTGCAAAGTTGTTGAGGGCCTTATTTGCAATTGCCATCCGAGATTTTCACTGACTTGAGACATCTTCTAGAAGAGGGAAAAACATGAAGGAGTTTTAGTGTCTTTCTGTTATGTAAGTTGCAGCATTTTGTATTTATTCCCCCACAGAATTAAACCCATCCATATGTCTCTTCAGGATAGGACATCTTTACAGCAGAATCTGTTACTGTAGGAAGAGGCATTAAGCATCTTGAACTATTTCTGCCCTGTCTCATGAGTCTCTAACTCTGCCTGTTCTGGATATTAGTGGATGCCAGTGTGTTGCAGACCTGTGAACCTGCAGCCTGTCAAGGCTCACTTAAGTGATGTGAGACTTCTGCAGTATTTTCACAGTGCAGGCCCTGGCACAGCATTGCCTTGGCCTCTCTCTTGCTGTCAAAGAACAACTGGCTTGTTGCTTGGTGGCAGGCTCTTGGTGGTAGTGCTTATCTTGAGTCCTGTGGACTGTTTTTACCACTTCACCAAGAATGAAATCTTCCCCTTCATGGGCCTGACCTTTCCAAGTTTCAGGACAGTTGGGACCATCTAATCAGGGTGACTACCAAAACTTGCTGTCTCTATCAGGATGCCCCTGAAGTTGTATATAGGAAGCTGGCCATCTG